CCCCCCCCCCCCCCCCCCGAGCACTGCTGCCCAAGCAGCATGTGCATGCGCACACGCACGCGCACACACACACAGTCTTTTTACTTGGCTTGCCAGGGCCTGCATGGGGAGCACGTGACCCCTGACAGCCAATCACCTTGCCCACTGCTCCCAGTCCCAAGCAGCCAGCCTGGGAGAGCAGAGAGAGCAGCAAAAACCCTGGACATCTGCTCTTATTTTAAAAACCCACCCAGACATAGCAGAGGGGACCAAAAAAGAGGACATGTCCAGGAAAACCTGGACATATGGTAAGCCTAACGTGCACGGATAGAGATTTTTGGGGCCAATACGGATCCAATTTCCAATACAGCTGCCTCCAGCTGGTAAGTCTGGTATGGTGGAAGGGTAGTGGGGAGGCAAGGGGTGTGGGGGGGGGGCAGATTAGTGCCCCCCGCAGTGAGGGAGGGGGCAGGGGTAGGCGCTGCCAAGGTGGGGCAGGGGGGGCAGCGCTGCAGCTTGTAGCGGGGGCATAGCTTGCACTCAGGGAGGACATGGGGGAGCGGGTGCCCATTGAATCTGTGAGGGGAGGGCTGCAGGCTCTTCTCAGCAGGGGCTTGACTTGGAGCAGGTGCCCTGCCCTGCACAGATCTGTGAGGTACACCCTCCCCGTGCCCTTCTGGGGTGTGAACAGCAGCGGGAGGCTCCCCCCAACTAGCCATGGCTCCAACCACAACCCCGCCCCACCTGGGCAGCACCTGCCCCCTCCCTCACCATGGGAAGCCATTGATCAGCCCCCCCACGCCCCTTCCCTCCACCCTCCCCTTTCACCACACCAGACTTACCAGCTGGAGACACCTCTACACTGTCAGTTGTGTTCCTTGCTGCCTGAGTGTTGCACTGCAGCTGCACGCAGTATGGGTATTTATCGGCCAACTTATTGGCCCTATCGGGCCAATATCCAATACAGCCAGTTTTCTTTACATCAGTACTGATCCAATATTGGACCAATGTACGTGCACCTCTGCCTAATGCAGATATGCTTAAAAT